GGTGGAGTTGAAATCACCCCTTCGTAAATTCCACCACGAGTTGGTTGACCGTTATGGAATATCCATTTCACAGATGATAGCGGATAAGTTCCAAATGTCGTAACTTCAATTCCGTCCAATTTTCCCCGAATGTGACCTACCGATTTAGACTTATTACCGGGTTTGTACTAACATGAGCAACACGACGGGTGCCACATGTGGAACAGGATCTGCTTAACCTTCCGGTATACCTGAGATCGCCCCCAGTTTTTGGTGGGGTTCGTGTTGCTCAGGCTTTAGTTTTCTGTGTTGTGTTTTATGTACCATTGTTTGTCTGTTGGTCTTTTTCTTTTTAAGCCACGGCGTTGTCAGTTTATTTTTGACTTATGAGTTTGAATGTCCCTTTTGTATATTTTGCCTCTCTTTTTAGTCATCAGGAATAATTAAAGAAACATGATTTCTTCATTACATTTGTCAAATATTTGACTGTAGGTAATTAAATGTGGTAGAGGGCTAATAAATGACCCATATAAGTGAATTGTCGTAATGTACTGCTCTGATTAAACAGTTAAAACAAGTGCTTACAATGTGATTAAAACACAAACAACGTTTAGGTTTGGTCTACGACGACAATATAAAATTTGTCGGGGAAAAAGACAGGGGCGCTTTTCACAAAGATTTTGAGAGTAAAAATGCTCGTAAGTCATGATCATTTCAGTATTACTTACGCTCGATTTTATTCGTTAGATTTTTGGTGAAAAGAGTCGCTGGATTCTAGTAACATTTATTTAATGATAGATCGTTAGAGTATTTTATTTTAATTTACATTAAAGACTTTCAACTTAACCAATCCAGAAATAGAATCAACGTAAATGGTAGAATTCAAACAAACAGAATCAAGTATAGATATAATGGAAAAGACCATAACTGCGATGATGCCAGTAACGGAGTTAAAAAAAATACATCTACCGAGCTGAATGGAGGAATAATAATTTTATTGGTTGTCGTTGATTCATGTCTGTCATATTTGCTTTTCGTAAATTGTTTTGTTATAAATTTGACCGTTAGTTTTCTCCATTGAATTGTTTCATATCTTTCATGTCCTGGCCTTTTATAGTCGATTATACGTTATGTTTTTTTTCTCTCAATGATGAAGGCCGTACGGTTGCCTATAATTGCTTACATGCACTTCATTTGAACTTTGAGGGATAGTTGTCTCATTGCCATTCTTACCACATCTCCTTATTTTTATATTATTAAAAAATCCTAATGATTTCGTACAATAATCAAAAGCAATTGTGATTTATCGTACATCATGACAGCTATAACCGCTTTTTGGTCATTTTCCTTTTTCAAGTAATAATTCACTATAAATACATGCCATCTCGGTTGTCACTGAATAATTGCGTTCTTCATCTTTACACGATATAACATTGCATAATATCAGATGCATCGTTTTTCAGTATTAAGAGACTACAAGCAGAATTCTACTTCGTCAGAACTGTCTCCCCATTACACGTACATATTTGTTTAATCATGATGATGGAGCCATTGTATAGGGACGACGCGCTGTCAATTAAGCTCATGAAATCAGACAAATTTGATCACATTGCTTCATTACGATCTTTACTTGAAAGATATATTTGAAAAAAAAAACGTTTCTTCTTGCTTACATGTTAAAGCATCATTTAATTAACTGGTATGCCTTTTGTTAGCTTGAAATTTGTGCATGATTTGTTGTCAACGGAAATTTTTCGAAAGTTCAATAAAACATTAAATAAATATGTTTCAATACTTCATGGAAGTTCAGAGTAGAACATTCCAGACGTTGAGGAATAATTACACTAGCTAACACACAACAAATGATTTTTTTATGTTATGCATTTTAACCAAATTCTGTCTTCAAGGGCCTTCTATTTAAAACATGTGTTGAAGGAAAATTAAAAAAAATACGTTTGTAGTACATGTAGCACGAATATATTTTTTCTAATTTTGTTATTTAAACACGCCTACTGTACTCTGTTGATGAGTGATCATGACTCATTACGAAGGATTGCACTTGGCTCATATATTTGATTTTTATTATTGTTATGTTTAATGTTATTATAGCAACATGTAGCATTAATATATTAAAAAAAAGTTAATGTTATCTGAAGCGAGATGACACTAATTGTTTTTTTTATACGTTATAATTTACGTGACCTTCTCTTTGCGATAAGATTATTGTCCATATTCAGGATGTTTCCCCATAAGATCATTGTCGGGGGTAGATTTGCAAATACACGCTTTTTGAAGATCAATCTTTTATCTTTCTATTTTCTTTCAGTGAAATGTATGAAACTTTGGTGAATCGTTTATATCTAAATAGATATAAGAAGATGTGGTATGAGTGCCAATGAGACAACTCTCCAGCCAAGTCAAAATTTATAAAAGTAACCCATTATAGGCCACAGTACGGTCTTCAACACGGAGCCTTGGCTCACACCGAACAGAAAGCTATAAAGGACCCCAAAAATTACTAGTGTAAAACCATTCAAACGGGAAAACCAACGGTCTAATCTATATAAAAAACGAGAAACGAGAAACACTTATATGAACCACATCAACAAACGACAACTACTGAACATCAGATTCCTGACTTAGGACAGGTGCATGCATGACACATTTGTGAATTGTTTATATCTATTGACGTAAGTTCCCTTTTGATGTTTTTAATTTTTAAGTTTTACGTTTCCGAGTTATGGGATTTTATTCATAAAAAGGGGGGATTTTCCAGTTTTCGGACAATAACTCAAAAGTGCTAAGTAGTTTTCATGAAAATTTGGTGACTGGTTAATATCTATTTAAATAATTAACCTCCTTTTAGTTTTTTTTATAAATTTCTGATATGAAATTGAGGGGTTATGGGACTTTATTCGTTGAAAAAGCGACGGGCGTATCATGCGCTCATGGCGCAGCTCTTTATTTTGGGGATAAAAAGACATACAATTTTACCATCATCTGAATCATTTCTCTAATAATTACTAACAGTTAATGGTCAGGAGCAAGTTTCATGTTAGACTACAGAACATGACGTAACCAGCAATATTTACATACAACGATGCATTGATTTACTAAGCATAACCTTTCATATCAGAACAACACTTCAACGCACGATTTATTTGCTTGATAGGCAGAACATGAGGGATTATTTGAAATATTATAGACATATGATGTGGAAAAGTCGATATTTTAAGCTATCATGCAATTTTGACATTATATCTTTCCTGAAAATAATAGAATGTTGGAATCCGATGTCAGATAAGATCATTGATGGAACACAGATCATATTTTTATTAGAATTTTGACAAATTATGTCTCATTATCAAAGTTATAGTTTTTTTTAGAGAACTTCCCACCTTGTAGTCGGTGATTCGGAACTAACATTATCTAACTTATACCTTGTTATTGTCTAAGTACGATTTTTTTCCAAATTCGAAATTTCTTAATTATGCACTACTGCGAGGGGGTGTTTAACGACCTTCACTACCCATGAGGGTCTCGCACGGTCGGTAATTTAGACAAAGTTTTTGTTTGACCAAACTATTTAGTATTTATAAATAAGAAGATGTGGTATGAGTGCCAATGAGACAACTCTCCATCCAAGTCACAATGTGTAAAAAGCAAACAATTATAGGTCAAAGTACGGCCTTTAACACGGAGCCTTGGCTCACTTGAACAGCAAGCTATAAAGGGCCTCAAAATGACTAGTGTTAAACAATTCAAGCAGTAAAACCAACGGTCTTATCTATATAAAAAAACGAGAAACGAGAAATACTTATGAACCACATCAACAAACGACAACCACTGAACAACAGGCTCCTGACTTAGGACAGGTGCATACAAATGCAGCGGGTTTAAACGTTTTAACAGGCGCAAACTTCACCATAACCTGAAACAGTAGTGTAACATTACAACATAAAATGTCTGGTTCTAATGCCCTAAAACATTTATGTGTTTTGGTTTCCAGCACTTCACAACTCTTCTGTGAAAATACATTGAACAATATAAGAGTTTGTTACGGCATGATTTCACATCAGCCGTTTAAATAGTTTGAGCCTACTTTCAGTAACTGCACGCATTCTTTTATACGGTATTACAAATGTACAACTATATTTACTAGTACATGCGGGTTTTTTTTTTATTAAAGGCTTTCAGTGTAGTGATTTGTATCTACCTTATTTTTAGTTTCTTTTGTTATACACCTATTGAGATTACAACGGGAGATTTAAGATATACAAATCTAGTTTAACACTGCTACATTCATGTACCTGTTCATAGCCAGACACCTCGTCAGTGGTTGTCTTGTGTCACATCATCATTGATGTTTTTTGTTTTGAGAAATTGGTGTTGATGAAAGATTTTTTACAACTGATTTTTAATTCATTCAAATTTTTTTTAATCTTTGCTTGTAGCTTGCTCTATTTTATGGACATCTCTATGTTATTAAAAATCGTATGTTGCCTTTTAGCTATTTATGTCTTTATGTTTCTACCTTGTTGACGTACTGTATATTCAACATGTTTTTTTAACTCAATTTGGTTAATCTATAGGTGTAAATCCTAGTGTTGTTTTAGAGATTAGAGCACAGTGATACTATAGACTGATAGACGACGACAACACAATTTTTAAAAAAGAGCGTGATTTTTTTCTAACGAAATTCTATATTTACTATGACATAATAGGTCCATGTTTTAGGATATATAACATTGAGTACAAATTAAGACAACAAATATGCATATACCTGTACGTCAAATGGTTAACAGCAACATACTATAGAAAAAGGAGTTACAACGGACTTAAAACAAAGATATATTAATTTAGTTTCTTTCCGAATATACGGTTCTGACATTTAATAGTCCTTGTCCTTATTAAACAAAGCTAGTTAAGACAAACCGTAAATATATAAAAACTAACAAAGCTAGCAATATAATGAAGTACCATAGATATACCTAGAGGCGGTTGTTGATATAGCTACTTACTTGATTTTGTGAACGAATAACTGTCAGCAATATTAGTTTTATTGAGGAAATCTTTTATTTTTATGGTGTTCTGTTTGTTAAACTGTGATAATTCTACTCCAACTCTGTAGGCTCTTTCACTTGACTTGTCTTCTTCGTCGATGATAAACCCTATTCAATTATAAGACATCATTTGTATTAGGTAGGATAATATGCTGCTTCAATTGATTATGAAAATAATAACAAAGATAACGAGACGACGAGACGTCGACGATATTTGAACTGTTACCTAATAACAGCAGTTTACCGATGTTCATATCTCAAACTTCATTTGGAAGATAAAAATCAAGTTAAAGGACAAAAACTGAGGGAAAGAAAAGATGTAATGTTACCGTTGGCAAGTATACATGAATCAGTTGACTATGAAGACACAAATTAGATATGGAACAGACTAAATGAAATTGCCCTTTAGGTTGTAAAATCATTACATCATTAATTAACTCACAATTTTGATCAATTAACCCACTATCTGTTTATCATGTCTACACTATATATATATGCATACTGCTAAGAGAATGATATATTTGTATTGTAATACCTAAATCGTGTATTAACTTTTCCTACGCTTATAGTCATAAAGAGATTTAATTCTGCATTTGTGTAGATTATTTTATCATTATCATAATTATTATAATTATTAAGAGCCTTTTCAACCATCATCATACATTCTTATGAGTCTTGATACAATTTTCTCTCTCAAAAATTTGAACAATCAGGGTTTTCCTTACATTTTAAGTCCCAATGGAATATTATACACTTATTTACTGACTATTCGGACAATAGCAAGTTTATTGGGCCATAAGGCGCCAACTATTTCCCGACGCGAAGCGGAGTGAAATAGTTGCTGTCGAGATGTCAATAAACTTGCTATTGTCCGAATAGTCACAATATTTGGTGAGCCACATAAACAGCAAAGTGACAAAGGTCGTGAATTTACAGCTAAGGTTATATCTGAATTAATGCTTATGTGGCTAAAACTAGTTATTGTTCACGGGAAGCCAAGACATCTTCAACCACGGGGTAGTATTAAGTGGTCAAACCGAAATATTCATGACATGCTTACTGCATTGATGAGGAACAGCGAATTAACAGTGGTCAGTTGGAATCAAATTCGTCCATATACAAAAGAATTCTGCTCTACACAAAGGTATTGGACGATCACCAGGTACAAATGACAGAAACAAATAAAACTGTGAAGTCTGTGCCATAGCTCCGCACCAATTGGTAACAAATAAATTTCAATACAATTTTCTATCAATATAAAAATAAGGAGATGTAGTACGATTGCCAATGGGACAACTATTGAACAAGTTTACGTATATTTTAAGAGGTTTATTCAATGAGTTTTAATATCAATATTTTACTTATGATTTTATTAACTTCAGTTCTTATTATTTTATTATGAACAAAGCGTATTTTAACTTTGAATAATTTCTTTTTCTCTACTCTCATTTTTATTTTAGGCATTAACATTAATGCCTGGACATAATTTTCAGGATTTAAGTTTAAATTAGGCTAATTTCACTCATTGCCGCTAACATATATAAATTCAAAGGCGTCAAATTCGCACTCCATATATATATATTATGGTGGAGCCGTCAAATTATTTCGACGTAAAACGAAAACAATATATCTCTATAGTGATTGCTACATTATTGTTGTTTAATGGTTTCATGGTTAGACACGCGTGGACATCGTCGACATAATCATTGCAGGCAGACAATTGTATTCAATTTACCCAGTATGGCATTTCTATGGTTTCATTTTTCTCATCTATATAAAGGTCAGTTTTCTGATTGAAGCATTTCTAATACCAAGGATTTCCAACTAATCAATTGAACAATGTCAAACAGAGAACGTTCTCATTGAAGTTGTGACGTCTCTTTTTAAAATAAATAGAATCTTATTACACTTTAATTACTATGTCAATCAAACTTGTGGGATATGGACACCTAAAGGAATTATAAATACTGCACATTTGTTCATATTTCCCTGGTCATAATCATGCTTTGAACACCGGAAAGCATGCTTAACAAACGCCAAATTCTTTACTTGTTTGTTTCAAGCAAGGGGCATTTAATCCAGTAGGTGGCATTATTTGGTGTCTTCCACACTTGATGTGTTGTACTAGTATAAACTAGACAGTTGCTTTTAAATTTCTTGAATTTATTAATATTTTGTTATTCAAGGGCCTTTCATAGTTTACTAAATGATTATGTAATTTCCGTTTTTTTTAATGCAATAATTGTAGTTGCTAACATCCTTGTCCATTGTACTCTGATGGATAGTTGTCTCATTTGAAATCATACAACATATCGTATTTTTATATATCAACATATACTGCTCAGTTTTACATGTCTGGTACCGCATATAAGATTTTGATATACACCATCTCTTCTATTACAAAACTTTAATACAATAATAAAATTTACTGCGAGGGACTTTACCGGTTTCTGTTTACTAGATATTTGCCAGTATTTGAACCACTATCTATGCAATTTATTGTAAAGAATTTCGGAAAAATATCTTTGAAACTATGTATTATAATAGTAACATATTCAATATGTTTAATGATTGAGGAAGTTTGCATGTAGTTTCAGAATGATATTGTTTCGATATAGTTGTAAATAGGGGTGTCAACGATTACTCGAGTTTTTGAGTATCGCTAGGTAGTACCGAGTTTCGATACCAAAATGATACTAGACTTATCGGTTTCCTTCCCTTCCTTGCATAAAATGGATTTTTTTGAGAACGTCCGTCGGAGATTCAAATAGTCATCACTGATTAATTATAGTTAAAATATGTTTCGTCTGTTTTTGCAAATTATCTTTGTATTATATTGAACGACATTTGCTTAAGAAGTATAATTATTCAATCTGAAAAAAAAAATGTTAGGGTCCTTCTTTTGCGATATATAAGCATTTAAATATTTGGCAGTAACACGAGTTATATCAGTTTATAGAGATGTTTTCATCGTCAAAATCTTTAATGAGATAGCAAGGATTTGACCAGGAATTGGAGTGATGTAGTTTACGAAGTATGTACGGAAAATGTAGGAAATGGAAAAGTGGGCCTTTAATAGCAAAATTTGCAAATGCTAAATGAAAAAGCTAGAGGGCCTCTAAATAATGTGAACAAGTTGATCAAACAACTTCTGCCCATTTATAAGTTGAAAAAGAGCATCGATTTAGTATGCTTCGCGTGGATGATTGGTCGGTTCTCGTAAAAAGTTATTTTTAATCAAATTGTCGCTATTTTCAGCGAACTTATGAATATGCATATACTTCTAATTGCATACGCCTATTGTTACCAAAGGGACTCGGTTAGCAGATTAAAACAAAAATAAATCAATGTTTCTTTTAAATTTTGTTTTAGCATTTTCTGTCTATTTGTTTTACTTTATTAACGTATTTGACGATGGCATCATTATTTCTTTGTTTTCTAGCAATGTGCAGTTTACTATCCATATCCGTATACTGAAAAATCGGCTAACCACGTGAGTATACTCACCTGCTTATATCTAACAGTGACGCTGTAGCATGATTTTGTGATTTGATTTTTTGATTTTTGGTGTTTTAATGCCACTTTTAAGCACCGCTTTTGGGCTATTTCGTGGCGGCCAGTTTTTATTGGTGGAGGAAGCCGGAGTGCCCGGAGAAAACCACCGACCTTCGATAGGAAAACTGACAATCCTAGTCAATTAAGATTGGAGTCGAGTGCACCTGCACGAGCGGGGTTTGAACTCACAACCTCAGTGTTGACTGGCTAGTGATTACAGTAGTAACTACTTAGACCACTCGGCCACCGAGGCCCCGTCATGATTTTGTGGTCGTACACTGAAAATCTACAAACCGCATTTGTAACGGTTTCCATGATGTTTATTTTCATTTAAAACTTTTCTTGGAAATCTATATAAATTTGAAATTAGGGTTATCTTATACCTGCAGATCGACAATACTGTATTTTGTGAATAGGAAAAGACATATAATTTAAATAGATTTATCTGAAATAGTTTTTTCATAAAAAAAGATTAAAATGCAATACATTGAGCTTTATCTTTTCGCTCTTCTTTGGTGTCTAACTCTTCATTGCTCAATCAATAAAGACAGTCTTGTCCATTAAAAAAAACTTCAAATCAGGGTTAATGAATAGACTATCGTCATAGCATTAAATTATTTAAATACTTTTATCTTTCTTTCTTTTTTGTGTCGAGTTGCGAGCTAGGAAATTGCAAATAATCACAAATACTTAAACAAATACTGGTCATTTCAAACATGGGACATTAAGGAACCGTGTACACCATGTAAGCTTACTCTTGGTAAGAATCGAAATGTAATTTTAATTTCAATCAGCTACTTTTTGATAATGTGTATACATATGGTCGAAAATCATATTTTTTCTCCTTCAAAATGTTCAAAAAAGAATTATATTAATTCTATCGATTTCAATAGCAATCTACACATGTGCAATTTATCATGTAAGATTAGCCAACTTGTACTAAGTCAAAAATAACATTGTTGGACTACGGTGCATTACATTTCAGGTTCAACAATCATTGATATATATCTGTAATATGAGTGCATTTTACGCTCGTTCCAAATATTTTGACATTACGGACCCTTAATTTAAGAGCAAGAATTCTTATAATATTTTTAAAAAATCAAAAAGGAGGAGCCTTTATATATTTGAAAGATTGCTTTAACTGTTCGTGGGATTAAATAAAAAGTGAATTAAAATAATTACATTCTTAAATTGTACATTTAAACTTCAAAATATAATAAAAAAGGTTAAACTTTTAGTATAAATATTTATAACTAAAGGGGCATTAGCTCTTAAATTCTCATATTTGATCTATGCTCCTTTAAAGTTTAAAAGAGTAAATAATACGACAAAATCCCGTCCCACCAACATTGGGTCAATTTGACTGTGTGGGATGTATCACTAACACAGCCACGTCCTGTTGGAATGAGAATGTGAAATTCTTTGCTTCGTGTAGTGAGAGTACATGCATAATGCTCTGTGAACACAGAAGCACCTTTGCATCTTGCAACTATTAACCCGGGGTTAAATAGATAGCTATAAAATATCTATCATATTCAAGCACAATTATCATCTTTTCTCACTTTTAATCCAAATCTTCATTCTTTCCAGAACTTTCCTATTGTTTTGTTAGTTTGTTATCGTCCTCAACTACATTACATATATGCCCCTGTTAAAAACCTAACACCAGGATATTGTAGTCAATTAGTTGAATTTGAATTGTTGTAGTAACTTCAGTAGTTAACTGTAAATATATACTTCACACTACACTTTCCCAAATACTATTTTACTACAGACTGTACAAACTTTTTATTTTAACTGTGGATGAATCAAACTTCATACTTTAGAAACCTTTTTTTACTTGGACTTGCTGAACTTTTTACAATTTTACAAAGTTTATTGTATATTTAAATTTCTATTTAAATTTCTCATTTGGTTGTTTATCTAAAGAATAAAAACTAGTTTTGTTGGTTGCACTTTTTTCACAGATATTTCGGATTATTTCATCATTAAAATCTGGAAATAAAGACACTTATCCTATTGGGGAAAAATAGCTGGTAAATACATAAATCTTTAGATTAACCTGATTCTTATAGTACGCAGCTAGCATAAGAACTCTGATGATAATTAGAACCATGAGTTCTCAAGGGCCGCTAATACCTACCGGAGAGTAAACTGATTGTTAGGGAAGAACATACTGGTTTAATACAACTTTATACAAAAAAGCGGCAAAGTTAAAACCGTCTCTTTTGTTGTATATTTATGTTTCATTCTCCATTTTATATGAATAAATTGTCTGAATGATTATATATATTTTACTAGATGAATTGTTCACAGATTGAAGTTCTCCATTAAAATATTGATTAACACTTGCTGTGGTGCTGGAAAATCCCTACTAGTATACATAATGATTTAAGTAATATGGATAAGAACAAATAAAAAAAAAATTAATATATTACATTTATGTATTAGCTGTGTTTAAAAACTTAATCTCAGTATGTATTACAATTATTAATTAGTGCCATAACTTCAACAGATATTCAGATATTCAGATTAAAAGAAAAAAAATAGAAATCGGCCAGATAAGGGAGAACATTTGAACACAAAACATCAGTCAATATTGAAAGTTAACAATGAACAGTGTGTCTTTCTCTCATTCTCAAGCTTACCCGTGTTAATTTTCTTCTTAGCTATGGACATTCCTGTCTTTATACAAAATATCCAAAACGAAAACAACACAATTTCCAACACTAAAAGTTGCATCGTATAAATCCTGATCTGAATCAATTCGAAAAAAGTTTTTTTTTTCTCCTTCAGTAGTTGGTTTTTACAGACTGTGTAAAACCACACGTCTACGATCGTTCTTTGAATAATAGCAAAAGTTGTTACATATATTGATTACATTTCAATAATTTCAACCATATTGCATCTACAGAATTATCAGATGTTTTAAATGTTCTGGAACATCGAAACGCAACTGACATTTAACGCTTCATAAAACTTTCATTTAGTTGACGTAAACCTTCATTAGAAGAAACTTTGCATTTAAATGCAAACATACGTATGATTATTGTTTCCATCTTGTACACCTTCACTTTGACGATACGTAATGGCACAGGGGACCAGTAAATTGTCTCATTGCCTACATTCACTAGTTGCTCACTTCAGAGATTGATATTGAGCGTAATGCCTTCACAGTTGTAATGTAATTTACTAACCCCATGACGGAACAGACGAGCTCTTTTTTCCGGAGATCCATTTGATTTCATTTATTATGCATGATCGACAATATTTATATTGTATAATGACACCTATAAATATTGAACGTGTTCCTGAAACTTCACTCGGTTTGGTAATGTAAGCTTTTGTTTAATTTATTATTGTTTCAAATCGATAATCATGAAGCACCCAGTCCGTCTTATTGGAAGCAATTATACAAGGAGCGTGAAATGTAATCAAACGTCGCTGTTTTACTAATAACTTTTGGTGGAACAGTTATATTGGGCTATTGATAAAGTCAACTACGATTTCTAATGTGTTCTATCTGAGAGGAGATTCAAGTTTCGCCAATGTAGATTTTATTTGATTTTTTTCACATGACAACAATGGCTATTGTCATTTTAACTTATTATTTTTGGTATGTGTAAGCATCGCTATTGTCATTTCAACTTATTATTTATGGTATGTGTTAGCGAACTAAACGTAAAAAAATCTGATTTTGGTAGTATTCAGATCTAAGCAGTGTTATAGTTCTTGAAATGTATGTTTTATATGAAACATTTGTTCATTATTCAAAACTTGATTTCATTGTTTATATTTTCACGATAACAGCAGCATAAAGTGACCTTATAAAATTTCTATTATAAGTGGTTAAAGGAATACAATGCAAACTATAAAGCGTAGTCTATGGTTCATTCACCAAGAATAAGAAGATAATTTAACATAATTTCAAACGTTATTCAATTCACTAAACCTTTGTTAAAGAGCTTTTATCATGTATTGGACAGTTTCTGTCTTTTATCTTAAATTGTTTTAGTTAGTTTTAAAACTTTTTAGTTCCGTTATATTGTCTAATACACCCTACAGCAACGACCCTTTGGTCAAAGTTAAGGACCGCCAATTTCCCTCTTTATCATTTATTGCGTTGGTAGTTCTAATTGTTTAATATTTATACTGTGGTGAGGGGTTACATTGATTTGTTCTTTATTATTAATGTTTACACGAAGGAGTCTCGTTTCCTTTTCATAACGGTTTAACTCATTACAAATATATATACATGTATCTTTTGTTCGTCTTGAAAAAAGTAAAATCACAAATATACTGAACTCCGAGGAAAATTCAAAAATCAAAAGCTCAAACACATCAAACGAATGGATAACAACTGTCATATTCCTGACTTGGTACAGGAATTTTCTTATGTAGAAAATGGTGGATTGAACCTGGTTTTATAGCTAGATAAACCTCTCACTTGTATGACAGTCGCATCAAATTCCATTATATTGACAACGATGCGTGCACAAAACAAACAGACACAACAAGCAAAAATGTCAAAAATAGGGGTACAGCAGTCAACATTGTGTTATCATCTTAATCACTTTAAAAACAAACAAATGTAACGAAGAAGCACAAAAAGGCATACATCAAATTTAACATCCTCATTTTGCTTGAATTCAACTATAATAGAACTACATTCTGCCCTCGTTAATCATATAAACCCGAAGGCAAATATAATACAAGCCCAAACGAAAAAATATAAGCAAGTCTAAATTGAAAACAACGTTCAAACCTATGATTGCCTTGGATAAAAACCGCAATTTTTATACGTGTGCATGCAAAACAAATTTCTTGGTAGAGGGGTCTAATTACAGCACAAACAACATTTTCCAAAGGACCAAAAAAAGTGAAAAAGTATATTTTCACAAAACGCATTTGACTAGCAGGTCGAACAACTGATGTTACGAAACCCTGCTGATTGCCATTGGCGATTGCCAAATAAACGGATCATAAGATGTAACAAAATGGATCTTATAATTAATTTATTACCAACTGAAAACAACAAACGTGCGGAAAAGATGATATACCGCAAACATGAGGTGCAAAAATTTGTACATCATATCCGGATTTCGACAATTAATGTCTCTTCAGTGATGTAAGAAATCGAAACGGTATTTGGAAGGCCATATGATTTACCTCAATTTAGGATAGACTTTTGAATTTTGAAAGAGTCGAAATAGGATGAACGGATCATATAAACCCGAAGGCAAATATAATATAAGCCCAAACGAAAAAATATAAGCAAATCTAAATTGAAAACAACGTTCAAACCTATGATTGCGTAGGATAAAAACCGCAATTTTTATACGTGTGCATGCAAAACAAACTTCTTGGTAGAGGGGTCTAAATACAGCACAAACAACATTTTCCAAAAGACCAAAAAAGTGAAAAATTCTATTTTAACAAAACGCATTTGACTAGCAGGTCGAACAACTGATGTTCCCAAACCCTTGCTGACTGCCATTGGCGATTGCCAAATAAACGGATCACAAGATGTAACAAAATGGATCTTATTATTAATTTATTACCAAACTGAAAACAACAAACTTGCGGAAATAGATGATATATACCACAAACATGAGGTGCAAAAATTTGTACACCATATCCGGATTTCGACAATTAATGTCTCTTCAGTGATGTTAGGAATCGAAACGGTATTTGTTGTATATATATAAATATATATATAAATTAAGTTAAACTATAAGCTAGTGTCATTAATATTCATGTATACACGTATCCACAGTCTACTACAATCTGCAGTTTCTACCATTATGTTACATACATTCAAATTTAATTTACAATGTAATTAAATCCCTTTAATGGGTATTTTCCATTTTTTTAATCTCAATCTCACTCTATCCCACTTGGAATTTCCTATACTGTTGATGCTGTTATTTGATTGATAAGACATGTGTGTTTCAGTATTTTTCTATGTAAATACTGTCACTGTGTTGAATCTGGAACGTTTCCTGTTTTATTCCATCTGAAGTTTGCTCTTCTGTTGTTTTGATGGCTTCTTTAATATCATTTGGCGATAAAGTTTTCGATTAAATATCATTGACACCTCATTCCTATGATATCCCCATCTCTCTCATTGCTTTTATGTCAATATTTATAATTAATTTCTTAATAGCTTTCATTTTTGTATCAGATCTTGTGCTTAGATAGCAATTACAAGAGCGACAATAGATCACTCAGAAAGTCCTTTTGAACCTGCAGGGAGTCGCATGCTATCGAGATGCAAATTTCCAATAAGTAATTAATACCAAGGATTCAAATTTAAATATCGTTTTAACACCATGTTAAAAGGTTTAATTCTCTAGAAAGGGGTACTGAAGATAATTTAAAAGTATCATCACCATCGCTGTTTATTTATTTGTTTATATTGACATATTTAGCTTTTATCGGATTTGTTGAGTTCCTTTTGATAGTTTGTTAGTTTGGTTGTCTTGTATATGTTTGTTGTTCTTTATGTGTTCTGTACGGTTTTTTGTTTCTATGTTTGTTATTGTTCACTAATAATTGATTTTTATTCTGATTCAGTATTCGTGTGCCTTAGTTTCGAGCAGTATATTCGTTCACACCTTCAATCCTTACCGATTTTTTTTTTTTTTAATTTTTTGTTAGCATCTTAATATGTCCATCAAAAAATTATTGTGAAGCCTAAGGTTTTACTAGTGCTGGACTTCAGTTGTCTAAAGTAGACATTTGTAAAAGACGAGTTCCGAAAGTATCTATCAATAGTAGGCTATAATAATTCACTACAGTTTCATCGAGAAAATTGTTTGAGATAAAAGTATCCCATCTTAGAAATATTATGCTTCCTTAATACACATAGATCTGCCCTATAAATACACATTTTTCATCAAATTAAAACAAATTGTATAAATTCTATAACAACGCTACTGTTACTCCTATCGATACACACTAGCTTTCATCATGAAAGCTTAGTCTCCATATGGAGCATACATGTAGCAGGCTACTTGGCAACAGGTTTGAAATGTACTGGCTATTTCTGACACGGTATACTATTATGTAGGTGTGACCAACAATCGTTTTCCTTTATCGCAAATTTCAAAAAAGTGAAGGTCCAAAATACTAAAAGCAAATAACAAAGAAAAACACTCGAAAGAATCTTACAATCTGAATGAATGTCTGAAAGAAAGAAAGAAAAAGAATGGAAAAGAAAAGAAAACGAAGGCTGCTACCAGGAAAGTAAACCAATTTAAAAGTGCACTCATCCCGAAATGTTATGCCTGCCTGGTAGATAGAAAATGTAGTCTTAACCAAAAGACGAGTATCTATACAACAATCTCGAGTTCTTTTTTTTAATATGAATGAGTTACACCGGTTGACCCGAAGCCAAGCAGCATAAACGATGTCATTGAACAATCGGTTTTGACTGTTACGTAATAACATAATCATTGTAACATACGAAATTTGCCAGAAAGTGCATGAATTCGAAATTACAATTTGTCACACTTCAAATTGCATTGAATCTAGGAAATTATAAATAATTAATTGTGAACTATCAATGGTTTGTAACTAATATCAAATACACTTACGGACAGCACATATTAGGATATAACAAAGAGAACTACTAACAAGGTTTATTACTTAGATCAGGTACAAGAAAATACGACGAGGTTTAACTGGTTATATTGAGATATCAATTATCTCCTACTTAGACCTTTATCGGTGAAATAACAAAGGTTCATAGAAGAAAATGCATGTACAACTTTATTCAGCAAAAGCATTTAATTCTATAATACCGGTATTACAAACCAAAGAAATACAGATATAATTAAGAACCAATTGTTCAGAGAACAATTGAAGGTCTTTCCACTCCAAATGTACATCTTTTGATAGGAAAATATTCAATTCCGGTTTAAAATGTCAATTATGCTGTCAGATTACAGCTTTATTTACGCTGATCCAAAAAAAATATAGTGTGTATATACTTTTTCCAAAAATAAGGTAGATAAATAGGTACTTCCGGTTTACAAAAAATCACTTTCGGTTTCAAATGAACCTTAATTCACCATGATTCCTAATATATATAGTTCTAGTAACTTTTATATACAAATATTGAATTATTGGCTACTTCCGG